TTATTTTCTTTGATTAAAAAAAAATATTTTCCTGACATTCAAGATCTCACTGCAATTTCTATGGTAACAGTTAAAAAAATTAGATCCTTATTAATAATTACTAATATATACATACTAATTTTGACATCAATTTTGAACATAGTGTTTTGCCAGCTTCTTCGCTACAGGATATCTGAAGGGAATACTCAGAGTTGGGTGTCAGTGGCGGTGAAAAACTAATGAAAAACAACGTGACAATCGGATACAATTCCCAATAATTTTGCATGCGTACATCCAGCGGCGTATTTTGGCACAGGAGTCAGGGGGGGGGGGGGGGTAGGGCAGCAGAACGGGGACGCCAAACTTTACTCGAATTATGTCAGAGGAGAAAAACATTACCTCCAAGGGGGCGCGGAGGGGGAGGGGAGGGGCCCAACTACCCCCCCTTCCCCCCCGTAAATACGCCACTGCGTACGTCTTACCGAAATTATCTTAAGTTGCATGAAACAGCGAGAAAACCACGTGCGGTAGTGAGGCTTACTTGATCTGGTGCACAATCAATCACTGCCTGCAAGTTTCGCAACGGAGAAGAGATATTAGTCAATACAGAGGGACGACGGAAGATTTTTCCGAGTAGCCCACAACTGAGCGGCCTTCCCAGCTTAACTTTGTTGTGGCTAGATGGTGCAGCGAAATGATCGTGAGTGGGAGCCAGCAAGAGCAGAGAGCCGTTGCGAAATGTACATGTAAAATGTAATGAGTCAAGGGAACTCCCCTTGCCTGGGTAAGGGTTACCAAAGAGGGCGCAAGTGGGGGGGGAATAGATCAAGGAAACTCATGGCCTTTCTGTAAATTCAGTCGCAGGTTTTTGCAAGGACCCTCAAGTAGAATATCATGTAATTAGTTCTATAAGTCTCACACACGGGCTTGATCCGAGAATCCTTCCACATATCACTTTCTCGTCCTTTCAGGCGGGTGGCTGATTTCCAATCCTTGAATCTCCCACTTATTGTTCACCTGTTCCTTGCGCTGTTCGTGGAGGAAGTCGATGTTGAAATGGCTTTGGCCAACTATACTTGCGTGAAAAACGTCTCTGGCCAACTCACTCCCCATTCTCCTATGTGTCTGGGTTTTCGGCATTTTCGACTTTTTTTTGGAGATAAGGTTATCATCGGTGTATTCAACGTTCAGCGAACTGAGGGATTTGGCATTTCTGTTGTTCAGCATTTTTATCCATAGCTGTTTCGCGCATTCGTTGTATTCGGCTGTCAGTATTTTTACTTTCGGCATTTCGTTATTGACCCTTCGAGAGTCCCCTGACGATCTTGAGATTCGAATCGCCGTATTCCACATTCCGTTTCGTGCCGGAGAAGAAGAGAGAGGGTGCTTCCTTTGAAGCGCCGAATGTGACTTACAGAAATCGTACTTCTTGGAATGCGGGGCAGTTTTCGTGGGTGAAAGCGGGTTTCGACTTGGCTAAAATCACTTTTATTGAGAATCATCTGTCAACATCCTTAATTTACAGAATACCAAAAATGAATTACAAACCATCTAAAATCGCGTTGCAGCAGGTGCATACGCAGCAAGATAAGTATGAAAAAAAAGGAATTTATGGCGCCCCTTTCATATGGCGCCGAGGAAGACGTGTTCACCTTGCCCAATGCGAGTGGGTGTCAGTCTAGCTTTTTTTTCCTTTAACAATTATCTCACTCCGTCGTGTCCGATTTGACCATCCGGCAGATGCAGTCATTCGTGGCGGGCATGAAGGCTTTCGGCGCAAGTGATGGAGCCTTGAGGCATTCGCTTGTCTTCCTCCTCAAGGCCAATTAGTTATCGAGAAGCTGGCACCCGAGAAGCTGATCCCCTTTTATGATCCTCGTCTTTTGCCTGTCACGTCTGCCTGGACGAGTTTCGAAGGGGCCCTCGTGGCGAATCCTTCTAATCGGGATTTCCAATTTCTTGGGCAGTTATTATTTATTGTTGCGTACCTTTGCATAAAAGTATTATTGTTTGTGATAGTGGTGAAGTTAGTGTCGATCGGCGGTGATGGACCCTGATGAGTTTGGATGATATGATGGATCGGCTGTCTCAAATTATGCAGGAAAATTGTCAAAATTAACATTATTTAATTTAAAAATGTTATATGGATGTTGGCGTTGGACTTCATGATAATAATACGGCTCTTGAATATTTACGTGAAATCCGTACCCGACTTGAGGCTTTAACATATTTCATTCAAAGGTTCTCATGTTCCGTTCGTGTGTTGGTGCTCTCGCCTGTGTCGTGTGAACCCTCTTTCCGCCAGAATAACCTCATGGTGGCCTTGAAGTCTGAGTTTGGTTAAGAGTCGCTAGACGCGCTCAAACGTCTCTCCTCCGGAAAGGGTTTTTTTCCCGAATGGAAGTGTACAGGGTGTCCCAAAAGTCAGTAGTTCAAATAATAATAGGCTTCTGGTTTGAAGTTGCGTTTTGTACGCGGCAGTTATCGGTCTGTTTGACGCGACTGCACTGGGTGGGCGACAAAAAAAAACTGCGTTGCGACGCACTCGGACGCAGACGGTATGTGACCTTCAGCTGGCGCCTGTCCATGGGCCCCATTGCCACAAAAAGTTTTTATTTGCTGTTGTATGAACTTCCGAATTTATGAAACTGTTGAAGATATTTGACGAGTGCACCACTTTAAAGCTTAATCGTTCCTCTTTCAAATGTCGCAAACCACATTAAAATATGTGCAGTGTATCGTTGAGAACTGTTTTTTTTTGCCCACTCTAGATTCCTAGAGCTACCTTGTCGCACTACTTGCCATAAAAGTCGACCACAAGGCGTATAAATCCTTGAGACTTTTATCTTGGGACTGTCCTGAAAGAAAGTGCGCACGCAGCTAGTTTGCGTTTTCAATATCGTCTGGGAGGCGAGGGTGGGCATATCGGATGAATTCTGTGGAAGTGCGAGGGTTTTTAGCACCGTGTTCTGCAACAGCCGACTTTTGGGACACGCTGTTGATCGGAGGGGGGATTGAACGACCAATATTTCGTTTTGTTACCCAAATTCAAAGAAAAAATATCCTGCTTCACTTGCATCTCATACAATAGTATGAGATCCAAAAAAACGAAAAAAGTGAAAATATGGTATTCTGTATATAAATATTTTTATTTAATAAAAAAAATTAGAGTGCAGGCTTATCTGATAATGCAGGGTCGTTTTCTGGAGTACCTTTGTAATGCATGCTCCATTGCGGGGGAGTTCGATATGACATGAAATTCCTCGTTCGCTGGAAGGCTTCCCGAGACAGTCATGCGAGTCTGCTATGCAGTGGCCCTGTCGCATCGGATGAAAGGGTTGCCTTCGTTACGGCATTCCATGTTTATTTTCCGCTTCTCTCAGAGGAAAATGGTCAATTAGTTATCCTCTCTGACGTTGAGGGATGATGGATCAAGGGTGACGATTTAGAGTCAGTCCAAAATGTCCCATCAACTTTTTTTTTTAATAGCGGGTTTGGCATGTCTGTAAGAAAGGCCAGCCCATGAGCACGATTCCCATCGGTACGAGAGACAGTATGTACAAGTAAGTCAGTGGTAAAGAAAATTGTTAAGGTACGATGATACATTTTGAAAGCCTCGCCCATGCCTTGTCGGTGTTCCCTTTGGACCCGACCGCTTTTTGACCTGATCTCTTTCGTGCTTTCGACCTGTTCATTGAAAAAAAACTCTGATCCATTGAGTCGGACGGAGCAGATGGCTTAATATGAATGAATGAGAAAATTCCAAGTGTGTGTAGAGAAATCTTTGACAGCTGCAATGCCCCCCGACATTGCAGCTGTCAAAGACTTCTCGTAGTCCAGAGTCCCGTTCATTTCTTCATGCAGAGCATTTATTGTGTGTCGTGTAGTGTCTTGTCCAACTGACGTGCCTGCACTGTGCAGTAAATCAGCGCGTGGCATTTGAGGGCTTTGACCCTTACACCTAACAAGCGACGGGCCCCAGCCATTGATCGTGTTACCTGCTGGCTGACAGATCTTTTCAAGCATGTTCTTTTAAATTCGGTCAGATAAACTGCCTTGATTCATATTCCCCGGACAGCGGACATAAAGAAATGCAGGTGCAGCCCTTTTTTTTTTCGTTTCCCGAGTCGAGGGGGAAAACGTGAGATTATGACTCGCTTCCCCGGTTATTTCTTATTGTTTGGCGGGCTCCCGCCGCTTTTCTGGTATTCCCGTCCCGTTGCTTTTCCACCTTCCCGTTGTAGTCAATTAATTTTTCAGGGAATGTTTGGCTACTTTCTGTCTCCCGCTCGGGGTTCTCAGCTGGTTCCTCGTGTGCGCATCTGGAGGAATCGTTCCGTTAACCTTCGACACTGGTGAAATTGTAGTGGGAGAGAGTGGAAGGAACAACTTCGGTCTCTTTCTCTGAGTTTTCCCGAATTGCGGCTTCTCGTTAAACAACCAGGTGGTTTCTTTTCGGCTACCTGTGTATGAATCAACCGGGAAATGGGAGCCCTACTATTGATAGTATACTCCACGCCGGAAGCAGTACACTGTCATATCCAAATGAATTCGCGCAGTACCACTGCTACATTGTGCGATAGTATTTTTACGGGTGAATCCAAGGAGGCGAGGATATATATCTCATGATAGTAGTTACATGGACTGTTTGCATTCCACGTTGATGGCGGGTTGAATTTATTTGGAAGTCTGTACTGATGGACGAGTAATAGGTAAGCAGAAACCGGCATTCAAGCATAGCCTGACATCTGTGTGAGGTGATCTGTAGGATGTAGTATACAATAATGTCGGTAGATGTCGCATTGTGCAACTTTCGGAAGCCGGACGAAGGGGACATCGCTCGAGATCGTCTGCATAATAGAGCGGCGGGGTTCTGACGTCAGTCGTGAGTTGCCGTGTGTCATGCATTGTATCTGTAATGGAGAATTTTCGTACATCTTATTACAGTGGGTTTTTTTTTTTAGACGACTTCAGTTAAATGTTTATGTGGTATTTACGTATGGAAACAATTAGGTATTTGTTGTGCGTGGAGTCTGTTGTCCCGATTTCCGTCTCATTAAGCAATGTTGACCTTGTGAATGCACCATCTTTTATTGAGAAAGAAACTTGTTTTAAAAAAAACGCAGTCCCTGCAAATTAGGGAGCCCGGCATCGTCCTTGATACCTTCATGCCCAGGTATCCTCAGTTTACGACGTCGTGACGCGAGGAAAGAAAGCTGCTACCGACTGCGTGTATGTACATGTACGCAATATATCACATGGGTGGTGTGACATGGGGGATGAGGAGGGTGGATGACGATGGAGTATGTGGAAGGTGGGTGATGATGGAGAAGGTGGAGAGCGGATGACGATGGATTGAAGCGTTTTTCCTAATACCCCTGCAGTCCTCCAAGTGGGTGATGCGCTGCCTTGGGGCGGATCTGCGTTTCCCGCGCAGGACATCTTGTTTTCTTTTTAAGTGATCTACTGCAATATTCTTGGGGGTGGGTGAGGGCTGTGAGGGAAGCGAGGTTGAGGCGTATGGATGCGGTGGGTAGGATCGGGTGGCTGCGAAGAAGGTGGGTGTGGGGCGAGATGGGGCAGATGGGTGTGCGGTGGAGGGGGGAGGTGAGAGGATGAATTACGTGTTTCAACGTTTTCCCCATCCCTGAGGCGTGTAGTTGTCCTCATAGGTGATGATGGGCTTGAATCCGGAATCCCCCTCGACGGTATAGGAGACCTTCATGAGTTTCCCGTTGGGCAGGAGGACGCGGTATTCTCCAGTCGACAGCCCGTTCTCGTTTCCAGTCTCCTCGTGTCCGTAGAAGTTCCCGCTGGCTTCGTCATTTACGTCCCACTGGAAGTTGTACTGCATGATAACAAAGAGAACACCCACAGAAATTATGTACTGAAACCCGGGTGGAGTTGTCTCTTTTCGTTTTTTTTTCTAAGTGGGAGGTATTTTTTGTTAAGTCCATTCTCATGAAGTCCCTTCCTGACAGGAATGATGCATTATTCAGAAGTACATTATTGTTTTCCTTGTCACATAGTTTACCCTTTTGTTTTTCTTTTGTTTCCACCCCACGTACTTGTTACTTTTTTAAAAGTGATGTTTCTCAACGAAAAATACAGTTATGCCAGTGCTTCAGTTTGCGCAACAATTTCTTCCATGATTGAACTGTGCCCCGTCCTTCACCCGCACTGGCAGTTCCCTCATCATGCTGTATTTTTCTGCTTGTATCAGATTCGCTGCAGCAATTTTTTTTTTTTTACAAAGACCTAAGTCCATTAAAAAGCAGAGTATTAATTTATTTGGCGTATTAGTTTATCGTAACACAGTGTTTAAGGGTTGAATTTGCATAAACAGTATGGAGCTGTATAATATTGCATTGTTGACAATGATGACCTCTGGTGTTGCCTACTGATATCTACGGTGTATCTCCAGTCACGTTTACAGTTTATTTTAAGATATATTACAGGAGATGACGGCTATTTTCTTTTTAACCGCGGTACTTGCATATAACGGAAATCTTTTGCCTGGAACATTACTGCTGCCATGTTATGATTTTGCAACGCAAGGAGCCGCCATCTCAACCCGGTGCACTCTTGATCCCCCGAGGACAGTCCCCATTACGCGTCACGCGCCGTTGCAAGCAATGAGGAAGAGTTGTGCGTGCGTTGGGGGGTTACGTCACGACCCAAGGTAGCCAGCGACGCGTGCAATCCCATCTTTCACGTGGCTGGGGGGGTGCCTTGCTCCAGGATCAAGGATCCTCCCGATGCCCGTATTGAGCCTTGAAGGCATCTCCATCTGTCCGTCGTGCGACCGATGATATCGGGACGGCCTTCGGGTGAGGGTCTTCCCTCAACTGCATTCGCATGAGTCAGCTCATGAATTAGGGCGAAGTAAGAACGTGAGAGTAAAAAAAAGGGGGGGGGGGAAGAAAAAAGAAAGCGTTAATTTAATGTGTTATAGAGACAATTTTTTTTCTTTTTGCCTATTGCTTAATGTTTATGCTTATATAATAGGGTTTGTGTGGGATTTACGTGGGAGTTAATGCACTGCTCATGGAAAGGATTCATCATGAGAACATATTGGGAACACATGAAGGCGGAATATTCATTAAGGACAGGAGGGGAAGATGTATCTGAAATTAATGACGTCTGATTGTGATCATGGTCGGGTCCTTATTCTCCTGGTTCAAGGATTTTTAAGCACTCAAGGCCTCTCGCTGGGTCTGTCGTAAATCAATAATTGCCCTTGCAAGGTGTTGGAGTTGTACATTAGATCTTACTCAATCTTAGGCATTATATTATTTTTATGTAATTCCTAGTTCGTTTCATTGTAACCTTATTTTATTTGGTTATCATCGCATGTTGCTCGTTCGTTCCCCAGCTAACGGGAGAGAGCATGCTGATCCTGATAGGCCGTTTTGCCTGGGGATTGGGCCGTAGTGCGGGCCTGTCTGTCGCTTAGGGAGAGAGACTGAACGCTGAGAACGCATTTTCCCATTATTAAATTATTTAATTACCGGAAAATATTCTGCAAATGACAGATATAAGTTGGGGAAGATCTGTGGATTGAACTGGGTTTCGAAATTATTGCATTTTGCGACTGAGTTGGATTTTGGGTATTTTGCCCGTCCATAGCACTCCAGTAAAGCTTCTTCGTTATTTGAATTGAAATAATTGCATTTTAGGCATTTTATAATAACCCACATTTTAATCATGACGAGGGGGGGGGGGGGGGGAATCATCGAAAGGGCAATGAGAAGAGGGGTCAGGGGCTGCCAAACAGCCATCAAGCATTTTTAAAATGGCTTGATAGGCATACCAGAATCTTGAAGAGAGGTGTGACGAAACTCGCAGGTGTGGAGTGGAATACCTCAACATATGCATGTTTAATGATATAAAAAATGACGGCGTGCTTAATTCTTTGAGCCGAAGCCAAATCGCATGATGTAATCCTTTGAACCCTTTTACTTAAAGTATTTGAGTAAAATTCCGTCTTTTTATTTTACGTAACAATTTCAGTAATTGCATTAAAAGCAATTTCCATGCATGTAAATTATTCGTTAAAAAATTACTTAAGTGGTTTTTCTGGGATTCTGGTTCAATATAAGGGAAGAGCAACCCCCGGGGTCACGGGACGAAGTATTGAAATTTGATCGATGGAACTCGTGCCATCCAGCCCTTGACACGGATTGATGTAACGGCAGTATTGGCAGAAAAAAAAAACACACTTACGGGCATGGGGGCCTCCTGAGGCCGAGACCGAACCCCCGCGAGAAGGGCGAAGAACGCGAGTACCAGCAACGACAGGGACTTCATGGTGCGATGTGGGAAAACGCAGTGCACGTCCGACAACCTTCGAGCGTGAGGCGGGAGCGATCACCGCAGCAACCTGGAGACTGAACTGCGGCCAAGTCTTCTCCCTCCCTTTATACCCGCGCGCCTCTTCCCCCCCCCCCCCCTGCCCATATGAGTCTTCCTCTCGCTTAATAATGCTGTGCGCCTACGCTCCTTTCTTCTCTCTGGCAACGTTCCGTCACACCGTCGCCTTGTAGCCTGTCACCATGAGATGTTGCTCCATTGTACATACGGAAACCTTCCGAACAGCTTCCGTTGATAAGAATAAATATTACCTTCGTATTGTGACGGCTTTGCAGCTCAATTTAGAAGCACAGCCTCGCCTGAGTACTGAAATCAGGAAAGTACTGGTTCATGCAGAATCAGCATAATGATCTGTATTGATGGATGGAGGTTAATCACTGTCAGTTAGCCTTATGGACCATTGGGGTAGCAAAATAGGGGCTCAGGAAAAATCAGACTTTCATAGGTAAGAAGAACAGGTTTTCTTTGCTTCTGTGTCAAATCAATTGAAACAAATAGGAAAGTAATGCAATCCAGCCCTTATTTCATTTCGTCCTCAGATGAGTTCAGGGCTGCCCGACCCGACTCAATACTTTATCAGAGTGGCTCATCGGTCTTCCTAGCAGTCAATCAGTCATTTATGGCCCAAGGATAATAATTTTGAGCGGTCGGTCTCCTTAATCCATAGAGCCAATGAAAGGAAAAGTATACCCGGGATTACGTAAGCATTGTGCATGAGACGTGCCCGAGGGAGGCAGGGACTTCCAAGGTCGGGTTCTCGATGCAACCGACGTGCAGAACGGTAGACGTTCGAACGGCGTGTCATCTACGGGGAGTACGTGAGAGTCGAGGCTTATGGCTAGTTCCGAGGGTGGAGGTTTCCTCGTTAGGTGCGCTTACCCATTCATATCCTTTTGAGTAGCCTCTGTTATGCAACTGTTGGTGCGTTATTTCTGCAAAAGGTCGTAAGCTATGGGAATGGATGATAGCCGCCAGCAGAGGACAAAGGTCGGGTATAAGAACCGGATTGGGAACCTCGCTGTTGCACGTGAACCGACGCAACTCCTAGCCCTCTGGGGTTGGTTTCGCCAGGATTCTTGAGTCAAAAAACTGTGCTCCTTGCCAAGTAACTTTCTGGCTGATTGCGTCAAAACTTCTTGCCGAGTGTAGGACTTTTCCCTCTATCGGATTGGATAAAAAAAAAAGTAAAATGAAGTATGGTCAAAAAAGATTTTAAATAGCGTATATATTGCACTCAAAATTTTGCTAGAGAGAGGTTTCACGAGGCTTAAGTTGCGTCATCTCTTGGTGAGCACCACAACCGTAAAGTAAAAAAGCAAATACTGGTTTCGAGCTCACCCCAAGCTCATTTTTAAAATTCAGGGCTTTATTTTTAACATCGACTTCATAATGCGAAAAGTATCGTGCGAAAATTGCCATCCACTACCAGGAACCGGATCCGGACTGGTTTGAGCCTTCCTTGACCTTACGCGAGATGAAGCTCTTTGACAGCTTCGTTTCCTGGAGCAGATTCCATCTCAATGGAACAGCCTTGGGACATGAATGGAATGTTGGTCTTGAACTTTCAGCAGTTATTGATGACGAGGCTACTTCGTTAACTCAACTAACCAAGTCTGTCAGTTTTTTTTTTTTACCCTATTAGTAAAAAATAATACTTTTTTTTTAATACTTTTTTCATGCAAGTCTGGTTCGATCAAGATCTTGAAAAACTAGTGCTTTTTTAAATGATTGCAAGCTTGCATTTTAAAGCCCTGTCGTCAATGTTCATTTTTTTCCTAATTAAAAATTTTCATTGAAGTATGAAATTAATTTCATGAAAGCCAGAAGTCCGTGTTACATGACTTGCGGAATGGCCTTCGCTCAATGAAAGCTCATGGCTCAATGAAAGAACCTCGGAATTGTGAAGGAATGGGTCTGACCAGCCCTGAATTGCGTCAAAAGGGCCGCCGAGGGTCGATTCAAGGCGCAGAACGACACTGATGAAAGGGTCATCTTCGAAGATGGAGATGAACAACGCCCCGAGGGGAAAGGGAATCCGGAGTGCCATACAGAAAATGGAAACGTGGGAGAGAGTCATTAGGAGGAGGATCCTCAAGGTCGCTCCGATCACGAATCCACCTCAACCCTTCATAAGCACCTGCTATCAGGGAGTGGAAGGGGGAAGGAGAGGAAAATGCGTCCGATGCCTGCCTCGGTGGACTGTGTTCCGGTCGCTCTCGGTTTTCAAATGATGGGTCTCCTTGGGGGATAATAAGATGATGAGGAGCATCGTTTTCCCTGTCAGAATTCTTTTGTTCAGGATCGGGTGAATATCACACGGAGGCTTGATTTAGTTTCTTTTCGTTTATTTCTCAGCTTTACTTAGTTGCATGTGCGTAGTTAGTGTTTACTGTGCTCTTTCTTGTACTTTTTCGTGCATTTTCATTTATATTCACTGCACTCGCTCAGGTTTTCATTTGGTTATGTATCATTAATTAATTAATTAAATGTTTGTTTTTAGAGCGGCAAGGGTTTCCTGAACTCATTTTAATTCGGGTCTTTTGTTCTTGGCCAAGCGTCATTTCAGTGAAACTTTATCACGGCAAACGATGTTTCAAGGTCTCTCTGCGATCAAAGGTCAACCCAAATGAAATGGAAGAGGGCTCATTTGCATCCTCGCGGGGGCCCTCATTCGCATTCAGAGGACGGATCTCTTAAACATGAGATGACTTCCGAAATGCTATCCCACTTGGAAACACTAGGAACGCTTTTAAGGGGGGCATATGCATATAAGTAATTTATCAAATGTGGATGTTGGAATTGTCGCTCGGGAAGCTTCGCCTTGCGTGCAGCTTCGTTGGATAATCAGGTAATGGGGGGAAAATTCCTCCTGGGGAAATTGAGATTCGTGTGCGTGTCAGGAAGGTCAAGGAAGCAATTGCTTTCCTTGTCTCCTCTCTTTCCCCCCCTTTCATTCCGGCGGGGACAGGCATCCAGCTGGGCAAAAACAACGGAGGTCCTGCCGGGTCACCGCGCACTTCCTGCGGCCGATTAACTTTTTTTTTAATATTAATGTCGCCTTTATTATAGTGTTGGGTTGTCGGTTGCGCCTTCGTGTGTAATTTGTGGCGTGGCGTTTCAACGCTTCTACGCATTTTCCGGGATGAATGCGGGGGAAATCCCCGGCTGTTTCCTTCTCAAGATTATTTGATTGCCCGATTATATGATTTGATTACTTTCTCGCTGATGATATTTTTTCTATAAAGTGTCGATGAAAATATCCTTGATGTCAGTAATCCCCTGTATTCCCCACAATGCATTGAGAGTTCATTTAGTTGGAAAAAGTTTGATGCCGTCGTGTTTTAAGGGTCGGTTCGCGAAAAGATCAATTATTTCTATCGATCGGTCATTTTTTCATCCGTTCCTCTTCCACGTGCTGTATTCACAAATTTTGAGGCATGGTTCTGCAGCAAATCCGAAAGGATGCTGGGATTAAGCGATTCGCCAGCTCCTCCGAAGTTATTTTTAGAAATTACCCAGCCGGAAGTGTGTACTGAAAATGTAAACTTTCACGTTTGGAAGTCCCTTTTACTACGTTTGACATGCTATTTTGCTGTCGTGTTGGGCGATCATTTCTCCACTTAACCAGAGATTACCTCAATATGCACAACTCCCATGGAGTAATTGGCAGTTAACCGAGGGGGGTATACACTCCCCTCTGGGTATTAGAGTGAATTTATAGCCCCCCCTGAATTATTGCACATTGTGACTAATAATTAAAGAGGTAGGAACGGTTTTGTTACCGATGGAATTGCGGTACAAACCATGGCGAATGCTCAGAAATTAAGAGCGTTGGGCCACGTGGTGTGGCCAAGGACGGGACCCAAATCAAGATCGCGATTTTCAGGACAATATTTGCGGGGCAAGGACGGTATATAGTGGCTGAGACTCATCTGTGGATACGTGAGTGTAAATATGCCCTGCAGCCAGGTTCTAGCTCGAAATGTTATCTAGCTCGAATGCTATCACTTCCGTAAACATGATTTATCATGGTTTCAGTGCGAAGTACCATAGTGCTTTGGAATTTAATTTTCAATAGCATCATGGGCATTAAACACATTAAAAATTTGATGTACGTATGGTTATATGGCTGTATGCAGCCTTTAGCTCGACATTGATCAAAATTGCTTGCCGCTAACCCCCCCCCCCCCCCCCCCCCCCCCCCACCCACCCCCNAAAAACTCGCCCCCCCCCCCCCCCCCCCCCCCCCCCCCCAATATAAGAGAAATAGACCATTGACTAAAATGGGATTTTTATGTGTAGCCGCCCGGGGCACCGACTACGCGGCTACATTTATTGGCGGCGCACTCATTGTTGAATGCGAGACCGGCAATCGTCCATTGAAATGCGACCATTTCATGAGCGCACACTTATTGGATAATATTTGCGATATCGCATTTTCTCGGTTTTTTTTTTAATTTTAAATCGGTCAATCTTTAGTAGCTTTTCTCGCGGACCGCTGTTCAAAAAAAAAATCTCTCATTAAGTAAACTTGAGAGGTCATGGGAAACTTAATCACTCTTGTGCAGTGACACTTCATGTACACTTTCTTTGTTTTAGGTGTGTCCAGCGGTATCCCTTTATATTCATCAGCTTCTCTGATTCATCGTTGTGGACACAAAGCAATAAGAAGCGTCCTATCCTTAGCTCAAGACTTGAAACTTCTGTCATTCCTTCGATAATCAGAAACTTATAAATATATATATTTATAGCATTTATAGGTCACTTTCTTTTTTTTACAGGTTTGCATTTATATTTCCAGGCATTTAAATGCACACCTGCTAAACTCTCCAAAATGTTTGAGAGTTCTAATACTGCCAAGAAGAATGTCTTATTTCGCAAGTAAATGGTGAAAGGTGAGAGGAAAGAGGAGTGCGTTTCGAAAATGCAGCCTGTTACTCAGCAGCTCCTGGAACGAGTGCGTTTGCATGGACCTTTGGCTCCGTGCAGTGGCGGTTTTGGTGGCTATGGGGAGCCGGGAGT